ACTCCACGAACGAGGAATTTTAGGGTACGTCCAGGTTCACCCATGCGCTCATGTCAATAATATAGTCCATATTACTGATACAGTCTTCTATAGGATTGAAGTACATGACCAAGAAGACGAGTAAGTGACAGAGCGCCCAATGCTCGACATTATGATGGCCACTGAAACCCTGCCAGTTGCCGTGTCAGGCTCGGATTGCTTTGGGATGATGACATCGAAGACTGGAAACGTTACGACAGCAAGATGGACGAGAACGGCAATGTAGAAGTCGTCGAGGTTCCTGCCTTCAAGGGCGGTGCACCTTCTGAGGCAATGGTGGCATACACGGCGTGGAAGCGTTCTTCTCAGGTGGGTACCTTCTGCTGCATCATGCCATTATCTATCTCATTGGCACGCAAAGAAAAAGGGCGACCAAGAGCCAGAGTGACAGGCACCCCCCCAGCGGTGGATGGCGGTAGGCACTAGTTCATTGGGATGCAGCCGGGTGCTCATGTGTTCGTATGTAGGAGGTCAAAGCGCGTGGCCGTGCATACGAAGTGGAGGCGCGAGGCGTCAAGGGGACTTGAGACGTAGGCGTTCAGGCCATGTGTCGTCTATTTTATGATGTTGCTGCTTCAACTCGGGCTCCCATACATGTCCTCTCGTCGTATCGTAAATTCTCACTTGGATTGCTGAGACACCGTCCTCATGCCTAGACACGCAGCAGAGGTACTTCAGTACTGTTTCAAATTGGACAACGAATAAATATATTCTGGACGCGCACATAGTCAGTGGTCTAGTACCATATGACACGCTGATCGAACCACAGTAGGTAGTGCACAACAAAGAGATATCTGTAGCATACGATGCAGAGGGGAACGTCGAGTGCGAATCGTTCACTTTGTCGGGAGGGTCCTTGGTGTTGGCGATTGCGTCCCGGCGACGGATGCTCCGGGCGTTCCGCGTGGAGGCGGAGGCTAATGGCCACGTCATTGTCAAACAACCAGCCGCGGAATGTCTGGTATCTTGCTGCGCGACCCGATGGCGAAGGTCGACCAGGGAACAGGGATGCCATGTCGTCGCGGCGCTGCCACAGACATAGGGCCCACGGCTGCGGAGCGGGATCGATCACATCGCGCGAAGGTATTTCGCGGCGCTCGCACACCTTGGGCCTCCGGGGACGTCGAGCGACGCTGCTACCGCCTATATGCTCACGCCGTCTTGGGCTATTCCCAAACGTAGTGACCATGGGATAAGCCAACCCTGCAAACGCATGACGCGCCGACATACGTACCTCAACATAGCCTTGGTGAAATGAGGGAAAGTAGCGGGAGGACCAGATCCTCTGGCCGGTTGCGAACGAACGTCAAGGGGGCAACGTAGAGTGTATGCTCGCGTCGTCGAGGTATTTGAACCCCTCTCTGAGAAGAGACCTCTGTCGGCAAGGACCGTGAGGCGATGAAACGACGAAACGACCGAGCTTCCGCACTCCATCCATCATTCCGGAGAGGCGCAGCAGACCCTTGGGCGACACGTCAAGGTCTTCAGCCCTGTGCAAGGTGGAGGATGCGTCAAGCGATCACCATCAGAATCGTGCTCTAACGACTAGACTGCCGACCACGTAATTGCTGAAAGGCCTGCAGCGAAACGTCATACAGCACCTTGACGCATCGCTTGAATGCGATACGGCGAAGGAGAATGCCATGTCGCAGTGGTGCAACGAAAGCGAGGAGAACGGCCACCTATAACATCCTGCTGCAGATCGCGACCGCTGGAACAGCTGATGGTATGCGGTGAGCTTGTAGGTGGACTGAGTCATACCGCGCGGCTCTGTTGTCTCAGCGTATCGTCCACTAGGCATAATGCAGAGTCGAGCGGGGGAAGTCAGCGATGTACACGCCGTCTTCAAACTCTGAGGTCCGTGATTTTCTTACGCAAACTTCTAAGCTCCTTTTCTCCGTTGGAGGCGCGCAATATGCCGCACGCGTTGTCTAATCACTCTGCATCAACCGATGAGGACATGCTACCACCATAATATCCCTTGAAACACTGGCTATTTCACACTACTTGCGCTTTCATTGTGCAGCAGCTGAGCGCTGGGACAAGATGTTGTACTGGCGGGCTGGGCGAGAACAGAAGCGAGTCCTTCTGTCCCGCTTCAAAACCAAGTGTGCCGCGCCCGCTCACCATGCCATATTATTGCTGACCAGATATCCGTCTCCTCGAGTCGTCGATTCTCGAGCAGCCTGTGTTGGTCGAAAGTGATGAACGCCACGTCACCCCGCCATACCTCATGTGAACCTGGGAGACTATAGCTCGTTGGTGAAACTTCTGCACGGAGCTACGGAGTATGCAGATGAATACACTCGGGCTGTGGAACAGGGAATACGGAGGTGCGCACCTGTGGTATTGGGGGAGCATCTTGCGGATGACAGCCGGCGGTCTGAGATGCACACTTGTTCCCAATATACGGCCACAACTCATACCCTATGCGATCACGACGCGACCGAAGGATACGGTGTGGTCTGCGTCAGTAGGCATCTAATACCGGTGTAGCGGACGTCTACAGGAAAGCATGGTGTTCGCGAATAAAGAAGTCGCCGAGCGCTTCGAGACAGACAGACGCTACACGAAAGGGTCCGGATGATCGCGAAAAGTCTGCATCAGGGCCTTGCAAGGGTCACACATTCAGCCACGTTCGCGTCGGGATTCGCAAGGCAGAAGAGCGAGGAGCTGCACATCAAGGAGGCGCCGTCGCCGTCGCGGGCCGACGCCGCCGAGATCTGACACGGTTTGTCTCGATCACTCGTCTTGCCCTCGATGACGTCACGTCTGGTCTCTGTCCTGTCACACCTCAAAGAGCTTGGGCCGCACGGCATCGCATTTCTCGGACGGCCCTTCGACGCGCGCACATCTCTTCACACCTCCCAACAACGTAAGGCAGACCTTCGACGAGCTACGTACCAGCCACGTACATCGTTCTCGGGCCTACTTGTGGGGTACTGTCCGACAACCGGTGATCCATGACAATGCCTCTTCAACGTTCAGATCATAGTCTCCAACTCTCATGCGCTCTCCAAGCATCATTGGGGCCTGCTCTCCAAGACGAAGTGACATTCGGTGTCTGGCACAGTACGTGGATGAGGATGCAGTCTGTCGCGTCAGGTGTGCGTGATTGCAACACGCATGTTCTTGCTAAACTCGCGCATCTGCCGGAGAGATGTCACCCTCAGCATATGGACTGTTGCCGCCAAGGCCTAGTAGAACACATACCAGTCAATGTGGCTACAGCTGAACACCGCAAATGAAGAGAAGCTCCGCGAAAGTATGGCTGTGAGGCACTCAAGCATCTATTCGCACGTTGTACCAGGGTTCCGACTACGACATCCACAGCGATATTCCGGACTCATGGGGCACATGAAGACAGCGCTCTCTCTTAGCACCTCACATGTTCAAATCCGTCACACATTTTGCGAGGTATCCTAGCCCACGGACGGGGTGTCCCGTCACGCCTCGAGGGAAAATTATGCAACCGCTGAGGATGAGAGCCGCTGAGAGATGAACGTCATGTTCTCGTTCGACACGAGTATGGATTCGTTCAAATCCAGGGGTTGAATGAGCAATGCGGAAACACCCTCCCGCCTGCTGTGTACTGGCCACTGTGCGATATCGTGGGAAGCAGGCGCCTACCAAAGAATCTTCCGGTCGGTCGGCAGCTTGAAATGTGGATGGCGAGTCGGAGCTGCGTGAGAGTATGCTATCGGAGCGCTGGTAGCTTTGTATTCGGGATGCAGTCACGACAGCTTCTGTGTGGATAGCAGAATTCCAGACCAAGGCGATGAGGATGTGGCGCGGTGGTAAGACTGGGAAGATGCCTACATAGAGGCAGTGTGGACGCTCATGCAGTGATGAAATTGTGAACTCTCTTCGGCGTCCAGATAGCATGACTCGGGCAGCATCCGACGCGCAGTCCATATCTGGAGGATCACACGTGTATAGGCCCACAGTGTCATCGGGGGCCTTGAGCCAAAGCAAGTATGCAGGACGCCTTCTCGTGTTGTGACAACATGTGCATTTCGCTTTTGGCTGCACAGCACGCAGCAGATCCCGGACATACTCATCTCGCCAATGTTGTGCCAAAATAACTAGGACTGGTTGCAAAGGACGGCTGCGGGGGAGGGCATAACGTTGACGGGGCGCTGAGATACAGAAAAGAATGCTCTGGCAAAAAATCATATGTGCATATGCACATGTGACTCGGAGACGTGGACTGTGAGGCCGGTTTCCGATCTCCGCAATGCAAGTATTGCTGGATGTGGAACCTACTGAAGATGCCTTGAGGCTGCGCAACGCACAACCGCCACATTCATATCTAGAGAAGCACGGACGGATCTATGCTGAATGCATGCTTCGTGATCTTCTATTTGGATGGGTGGTTGACTCACTATATGTAATCTGGGGCCTGTTGAACGTCGCTGCACACCTCCACGAAGATTTCAGTCTTGCCTGACGGTCGCAACAGAGTATCCAACTCGTAAGTCTTCCTAGGCGGCGCAGACGACGAGGCGCTTCTGTGATTGATGTATTAGCAGCTTCAAATGGAAGACAGCGAGGAATATTCAGCGGACAAGGTGCTTCTGGGGTGGCAAGATATATATACGCCCGGCATCTCGGTGAGCACAAATCCATACGTTCCAGTGTTGTGTTTGCTACCCAGACAGCATGTAGATCAGTCACGGACCTTCGTTGCCTGTGGAACTCTGGATGTACATCTTGAACGACGTTGCAGAGGAGCGCAACCTCGATACAATAGCAAGATGCACCAGGGTCTGCGGATTCTTCCGGGAATTGTGTAAGAAGCATTTACAGGACGAGTTGACTTTCAGGAGCGAGGAGGACGTGGAGCGCATCAAGACAGACATGGCAGCAAAGGAGATCGGGGGCTGGCGAGGACCGCGACGCGTGACCATCAGGGGAGAAGTGGAATCGAAAGCGATTCCACACATGGCCACGTTCGCATCCAAATTCGCAGGCAGATGGAATGAGGTCTACAAGCTGACCATCGAGAACGCGTCGTGGCCGTCGTCGCTCCGAGCCGCCGACGCTGTGGTCTTCCGGGATTTATCCCGCTTTGCCTCGATCACCAACCTCTTCTTGAATGACGTCACGTTTCCATCCATCGTCACATTTGGCGCCTTCACTTCTGCTCTGTCGAGCGTCATACAGCTTAGCCTCACTAACGTTAAGCTCACCGGATCCTCAATTTCATTCGACCCTCGTACGCTTTCCGATTTTCGCCTGCTGCCACTAAACAACAACCTGCGTTCTATTATCCTGGGCAAAGATTACCTCTGGCACGGGCATGAGTCTGATCCTTCTGCATGGCCGTGCTATACAGAACTTCTTGCTTTCATGATAGCCGTAAGCAACCCCTGTGGCAAGTCCCCTCGCGTCTATCCCTGGGGCTCCGTCCACCACTTGCAGCTCGACGTGGACATCTGGTGGAAATTCTCCTCCTCCTCCATTTCCCGGCTCCTGCGTGCACTTCCATCACTTGAGGACATCGAGTTTAAAAGTGCAAGAAGCAACCGTGTGGATATTGAGATCGAAGGAGTCCCCGCGCATCCCAGGTTGAAACCAATCACAATTGGTGTGCATTGTGCGTATGTCCAGCCTCAGCATGTGGCCCGTATCATCCATTGCTTGATCGATATGGACTATCCCCTCAAAATCACGCGAATATACACTGCGATCTATCCCTTCCTACAAGAGGCTGATCGGTTGGTGGCCAGCGCCATCAATAAATTGGTTCAGCATGCGGGACCGTCCCTCGACAATCTTGGTCTTGATCTCGGAGGCCACAGATGGAACTTATATTATGCAGTTTATGCTGCTGCAGCCCAATGTGAGTCTGCCTTCATGGTCTCTCGGTGGTGCTGCGCGTTGCTTATACCCTTTATAGACCGTCAATGTGATCTCTTTGCGAACACAAACTGCACGTCCCTTCGAATTGGTAATTGCCATGCATCCTGGCTTGGCGTGCACGAGGTTCTGTCTCACGTCACATCAAGATGCGTGTCTTCCGTCAGCATCGATTCTGCTCCGTTGTCTTGGGGTGACCGGGGAGAGTTGATTGAGGGCCTTTCGCAATTGGACACCGTGCTTTTACTTCCTGTCTTCGACAATCTCGTGCACGTACTGATATCGGTGAGAAATTTGGAAGCTGTGTCTCATGTAGAGATGGAAGAGATGGAAGAGGTGACAGAATGGGCGCACGAGATGAAGTCATGCATGGCGAGACTCCACGAACGAGGAATTTTAGGGTACGTCCAGGTTCACCCATGCGCTCATGTCAATAATATAGTCCATATTACTGATACAGTCTTCTATAGGATTGAAGTACATGACCAAGAAGACGAGTAAGTGACAGAGCGCCCAATGCTCGACATTATGATGGCCACTGAAACCCTGCCAGTTGCCGTGTCAGGCTCGGATTGCTTTGGGATGATGACATCGAAGACTGGAAACGTTACGACAGCAAGATGGACGAGAACGGCAATGTAGAAGTCGTCGAGGTTCCTGCCTTCAAGGGCGGTGCACCTTCTGAGGCAATGGTGGCATACACGGCGTGGAAGCGTTCTTCTCAGGTGGGTACCTTCTGCTGCATCATGCCATTATCTATCTCATTGGCACGCAAAGAAAAAGGGCGACCAAGAGCCAGAGTGACAGGCACCCCCCCAGCGGTGGATGGCGGTAGGCACTAGTTCATTGGGATGCAGCCGGGTGCTCATGTGTTCGTATGTAGGAGGTCAAAGCGCGTGGCCGTGCATACGAAGTGGAGGCGCGAGGCGTCAAGGGGACTTGAGACGTAGGCGTTCAGGCCATGTGTCGTCTATTTTATGATGTTGCTGCTTCAACTCGGGCTCCCATACATGTCCTCTCGTCGTATCGTAAATTCTCACTTGGATTGCTGAGACACCGTCCTCATGCCTAGACACGCAGCAGAGGTACTTCAGTACTGTTTCAAATTGGACAACGAATAAATATATTCTGGACGCGCACATAGTCAGTGGTCTAGTACCATATGACACGCTGATCGAACCACAGTAGGTAGTGCACAAC